GCTTTCTCTGAAAAGATTAGCCACATTCACCTGTCTTGGCTCTCAGGGAGGTTCCAGCCTACTTACATTTAAACTGTAATGTTTGTTTACTAGATCTAAGCACTTTATCATGCGATTTCAGTGCCCAAGCATAGCTAAAAACTTGTGTTTTGTTTCCTTTTACGGATCATAACCAATTAAAATCATATACATATACATGTAATTATGAACTGTATTTTTAACATCAACAACAACGACGACAACAGCAACAACAACAACAACAACAACAAGACCTACAGCTTAACACCAACAGCCAAAAGACAACAACAATAAAAACAACAACCCAACCCAACAACAACTGCAAAGCAACAACAATAACTACAACACAAAAACAAAACAACAAGCACAACACTAAAACCAACAACCACAACACAACAACCCAACAACCCAATAACAAAATCAACAACAATAACCACAACAACAGTAACGCAATAACAATATTACCACTACCTTTCAACAACAACAACAAGCACTACACAATACCAATACCAACAACATAACAACCCAATAGCAAAAACAACAACAATAACCACAACCTTTCAACACAACAACAACACCAACAAATCAGCAGCAACAGATCAACAACAACAACAACAATAATAATAACGCAAAAACAACAATAACAACAACAAGCACAACACAATAACAAAAACAACAATAACACAACAACAACAACAACAACAACAACAACAACAACACAACAATAACAACAACCAAACAACAACAATAACACAAAAACAACAATAGCAACAACATTAACGCAACACCAACAATGACCACAATCTTTTAACAACAACAACAACAACACAACAGCAAAAAACAGCCCAACAACAACAACAACAACAACAACAACGTAAAAACAATAACACAATAATAATAATCCAATAACAATAACAACAACCTAACAACAACAACAACAACATCAACAACAACAACAACACAACAATAACAACAACCAAACAACAACAATAACACAAAAACAGCAATAGCAACAACATTAACGCAATACCAACAATGACCACAACCTTTTAACAACAACAACACAACAGCAATAACAGCCCAACAACAACAACAACAACAACAACTTTAAAACAATAACGCAATAATAATAATCCAATAACAATAACAACAACCTAACAACAACATCAACAGCAACAACAACAATAATAACGCAATAACAACAATAACAACAACAACAAGCACAACACAATACCAACACCAACAAAACAATAACAACCCAATTACAAAAACAACAACAATAACCAAAACCTTTGAACAACAACTACAACCATAATAAAAACAACCCAACTACAACAATAACGAAACAACAACAACGACATTAACGCAATAACATCAATGTCCACACACTTTTAACAACAACAGCCCAACAACAACAACAACGTTATAACAATAACAATAACCCAATAATAAAAACAACATCCTAACAACAACAACAACAACAACAACAACAACAACAACAACAACAACACATACAGCCCAACACCAACAGCAACTAAAACAACAACAACAACAACAACAACAACAACAACAACAACAACAACAACAACAACAACAACAACAACAACAACAACAACAACAACAACAGCACAACAACATCAACCCAACAACAAGGATAACACAACAATAACAACATTAACGCAATAACAACAATAACCACAACACAACAGCAGCAACTGCTCAACAACAACAACATCTACAGCAACACAACAACAACAATAACAACATCTACAGCAACACAACAGTAACGAAAATAAACATCGTATCTAGCTATATTTACATCTTATATAGTTTAAACAACAACATTAGTTTATGTTTTAAACATTTCGCCTTAATATTTTACATCATACCGTGAAACATGTTTTCAATTTGACTATGAGCACACCGTCAACACGATACATGTAACAGTCTTCACTAACCAAACCGTCCGAAGGATTGGGGTTTGATAATTTCACTTCAAGGCAATTCTTCTCAACTACTTATTCTAAACATGCTCTATATACAAAAAAATACGTCTTTAATTTCATGTTCCAGTCTCAGTCAGCTTAACAGGAATGGAGAAGCGCCAGTCTACACACCCAATACCACTTAACATATCTTGATAGTTCTAGGTGTGTCTACAAGCGGCTGCAACCTTATCGTTTCTGCGTATTCTTATCTTAACATTTTCTTTAAATAAACACAAACATTCTTAAAGGTCATCATGATAGTTGTAAGCATTGTTCTAAATATGATTCTGAGAATACTGCATGACGTAGGCATTAGTTATGAAATTCTTGTTAATATCGATATTCACATGTTCCTGGAATTGGTAATTCAGAGCCTGGTTATCTTAAAGAAATCGAAGGCAAACATGTTAAAATAAGAATATAATTCCTATATTTTATAAAGGTCATAACAATTTCTTTAATGTAACTGTACAAAGTAAGCTAACACAATTTTTTGACATACTTAGAAACTATATCAGATAACAGATTGGCGTTAATGTCGTGACAAGCTAACAAGTCATAAATCAGCCGTTCTCCGTTAGCAATACGCCGGGGTCTCAGTGTTATAGCAATTCCCTGTTGACTGGTAAATATTTCTGAGAACCAGTGTCAATAAAATTCAGGTCAAACACGTTGAAAGTATGGTTAGTTTGATATATCGTCATATAAAATATTTTCTTATATCATAATGATATTTTATTAAACTTTTTTTTCTTGATGAATATCTGCAGATACTTATATATATTACACATTTAAATAACATTGTATACAATTTAAATTATTTCAAATTATTCAATTATTTCAGAGATATACTAATTAATTTTAAAGCTGTCCAGTATTTTAAAAATCTTAGCCAATATCATTTACTACTTATATGTAAGCAGATGGTCCTGGATACGTACATGGTCGCTCATCCTGTCTTGTTACAATTAGTACAACAATGTTCATCAAATTAACCCGAACACAACCCCAGGGAACTTTTCTACAGATTCCCATGCATTCCAATATGGCATTATGTCAAACATTGATATTTACTCAGTTTTATTTAATATAAATGCTATAATGCCATATACAGTTGTCTTATATAGTGTTATTACCGTAATGCGTTCTCCAAATGGGGCTTTGCTATAACTGAGCTATTAACTGGCGAAGGGCGAGAGTCTGACTGAGTGAAAATTGTCCCGTTGTACATAATCATCATTACAATGATCTTCACGGCCCATCAATATAGACAGGGTCGTTATGGCTAATCGATGACCGATGGATATGTTTCAGGAAATGACATCTTACTAACGAAAATGTAAAATACAAACGTAAACTTAAATATGAAATGTGGATATCATTATTAATGTCTTTTGGAACAGACCAGCAGTTTTCAGGGAATCTGGAATTGTAAAGAAGAGATTTAACTTTTTATAATTCCCTCGTTTTGGCTGAAGGTCAATGCAACTTAGTATCAAGCGTTTTACTGTAAATGGTTTTTATTATATGCATGAAAATTTCCCGCAATCACATTGGTCGGATCCTATACACGTGACCAGTCCTCAAAAACTCATGTAGACTGGTTATCCGGTGAATATCGATTTCTAAATATAGCCTGTATGGAAATTCCCCAGACCCTGTCGTTGCGCATGCGCAGTTAGACTGGAACGCGATCTGTCAGACGACATTAGAAGATGGCTGCTGGCGAACGTTTCTCCTCCGTTAGGAAAATTACCAAAACTATTCGAGGATAAAGATGCTGTTAGCGTAAAAATAGCCATTGAACAGGCAGTGCATGTCCTCCATGCTTATCTTAAGAAAAAGAACCTAGACGATGCCTTCGAAAGCTACAATGATGAACTGTTGTATTAAAACCTGACTAAGTTGTACACGGAGGCTCGCGTACAAAAATCAGAACCTTTAGTTTTGTTTTGTTTTATTTTATTGTTGAAGCATATAATAAAACAGTTATGGGCTTCGCCGAGGTCAATATCACTCTTTCAGGTTCATATCACATCATATTTACCAGCACAAAAGTCCATAATTGTATAGTGACGTGCTATGCATAAGGGTTGGTGTTTACAATTCAATAAATAAGAACAGGTAAAGTGTGACAGGCCCATCCGGAAACGAACAAGGACAAATTCGCCACGGCGCCTTTCTCTATAGCTTGGAAACCATTTACATGTTATCCGTCCTAGGAATTCCTGGGTTCACTTACGTTCTCTGCACCTCCGAAATATGCCATGACAAAATCAATGGCACGTGGTTAGCTTATTGATCGGTTTCAGGTTACAAAAACCGATTACTACATGGGCTGATATCTGTTATTTGTCTATTTGCATAATCCACAATGTGGTGGGTAAAGAGCCTCATTTTCGTCATGACTTATTCCAGGCGTGTAAATGTAACTTTGCAGGTCCAATTAACAAAAAATATCATTCACAAGCTCTTGAAATATTTATGGTTTATTGGGTGATGCGTCTTCTTAACAGCTAAGGTCATTTGAAAGGTCAGCGTCCGTGTGTGTATTCCTTATATCATAACTGTTTTATTAATTTGTCAGATCAAAAGACACACTGTTCATTTAAAAACTTATTAACTTCTGATCGGCTTAATAATATTAAATTGCATAAGCTTTGATTAACTCCCCGACATCTACTGTTGATGAGGTCACATAATTAAAGTATATCTCGTTCGCAGAAAATGTGCATAGCTCTGCACACTTGTATTGTTTTCAACGTCATTGAAACGTATGACGTTCTATAATCAGGTTATGAGATGATAACTAAAGTTTGCAGGAACAATGATTATTGAGTGAATGTTAGTGTAGACTGTAAATGTATTGCAATATAGATAGTATTATTACGTGTAACATAACGATTTGAATAGACTGATCAATGAAGACTACACCATTCCAATATTTAGACTATGCCCGTTGGGTCATTTATAATCTTAAGTTATGTAGCACAAGCTGACAGTGGTAACGTAAATGTGCACAGATCCACTACTATAGGATATACTGTACTCGGTGGGGACACTGCACATAACAAGATAGAAGGCAAGTACTATCATTTGATATCATATTTAAATGTTGTGTTTTACATGTAAAATAACAACAAATAATTGAAGTCGTATATAAATGTGTGACATTTTATCATATTCGTCCATGGTGATTTATGGTAATAGACATGTTCACTGGATTTTTTAGCTAGCTTCGTCTGTCTCCACTTAATTTTAAATAAAAAAGTCATGCTGTCGGGTATCAATTACACTTTAAGAAAGACTTACCCTTTTGTGACATTTTGTTTTTGTTAAATCGCATTTTTGAGTGTGGGGATGTTTTGTTTATTGTTGTACCGCACAAACGCTTACCGAGGCTTGTCCAGACGACTTAATATTTTCCTGCTAGGCAAGAGGGTTTTAATCTGTAGGTCATAGCCTGGGTGTGTAACAGTATTCTCCCTAATTTAGCTGTGCGTTTTATGCACACTGATTCGCACTTAATTGTATCAGATATAGTAAGGTACATGTACAAAGAGTTCCAGCCGGGATACTTTTGTATATACAACAACGCTTTTACTTTTACTGAATTTGTGAAAAATGTTCGAAAAGTACGTGTGGTACGGGAAGTCATACGGGAAGCACTGTTTTATTTTAAATTTGTAAACAAAATAAATACACTGCCCTCCAAAAGTTCTGTTACATTTGCATTAAAATATAAAATTAAAGTACAGAATTATGCTAATCTTGTTTTTATTATCATTTGTATATATCATCTGTTAGTTATTGGACAATTAATTCTGTTTATTTTATTATGTTAAGTTAACATAATGTTACAAAACTCAGCTATTATGTAAATTGTCAAAAACATTGTAATTCCATTAATTTTTAGTGTATCCTCAACGAGCTCATAGCCTGTATACGGTCAGGCATACTCCTAACCAAAGTTCTACATATCCTAGCAGGTATTCCATCCCATGTAAGCTGTAAGGCAGCTTCAAGTTCCCTTAGGTTTCTGCTCTTGTGTCAGTGAAGTTCAAAACCCAGATCTCTCCACAAGTTTTCTATCGGGTTCAAGTCGGGGGACTGTGGGGGCCACTCCAAAGACAGAATATTGTTGTCCTCCTTCCATTCGTTAACTATTCGTGCCCGGTGACATGGGGCACCGTCATCCTGGAAGAAATAGTTGCTTCCATAGCCTAGCAGATGTGCTGATGGGTGGTAGTCAAAAGTGTTTTTTGACAGCAACACAACCTTTCAATCCCGCATTGTGTAATCGTCTCCTCACTGTGGTATTCGACGCTTCCACACCATTTTGGATCCTTATTTTTAACATTAATTTTGGAAATTTGACTAAGCAAAAGTGGGGTTCAATTTCAGTGAAAGCATCAAATAAGCAAATACAATGGAAAGTTGTCTGTAGCTGCTAATAAGATAACATCATTATATTTCCACATACATGTATACTTAACATATTGGGATTTAGGTATCTGCCTAATTAGCATTTACATACACATTAAAATGAGTGTTTAAATAAATTGTATCAGTTCGGAAATATGTAAAATCAAAGTAAAATTTTAATATTACATAGAAATGAGAAACGGTCACTGAGATTTTTAGAAATTTACATAAAATGCCAACTAGGACAAACGTGAAGACTTTGAATAAAACACTTAGGTATAATACAAAACCCGTACTTTTCTGTCTTTCATATCTGTATATATGTTATTTCGTATTATGCAATATATGTATCATATTATATATTTGCCTGATCCTACTGCTGTTTCTACCCATCGCCTTTGACCCTGTTGCGTTTAAGAGTCGTTCTATTTTGTTCTACTTAACAATCCTCGAAAACCCTGTATACTACGTAACGTGAATCATCATCTCCAGCAATCTATTCCGGTAAACAAGTTTTGTTGAAATCACACGCTGTGAACTGTTTCATTACGTTACACCTGTGAGAAATACGCTGAAATGTTTTCCCCATTCTACAAGCACAGGAACAACGATACCGACTCGATAACAAACTCAGACAGGCGAAGAGGAATAGTCGTTATCATATATATGGGTGAAAGGCGTGATATAAACGGTGACTTCCAAAATAACACTGGATCGTTGCAAACGTATGTTTGTTAGATACGAATTACTTGCAAATGTGACAACCTCACATTGCCTACACTGTTGGAATAACTTCCTTGCCCCGTATATATATCTATATATATGTATTGCCCACACCGTCGATATCTTTTATTGTTCTATTATTTATCTATACAGAGATATTTATGAAATCAGTTGTAAGGGATTATTTACACTCTACCTCGGCGAATAGCTGTTGTTTTGTTTTAGAAATCCGTTACGAGCATCATAAAAATTCGAAAGAAAACTCATTTATTGATCAAAAATGTAAACGGCGCGTTCGGTTAAGAATGTGTTTGTTTACGTACATTGTAGAACAATTCAGCTATTTATGAAATGCGGCTGACTAATGCTGGTCCTGTTTTTGCATATGTTTTTTTCACGTAAGTCACATCATCACGTAAACGAACTGGGTTGATAAGGTTGTTTACGAACATTCTCGACCGAATTGTTTGTTGAATATCTTTATCGCCTCTCTCAGCCGTTTGTGGGTTATACATTAAAAGAAAGAAGCAGTTATATCGGGTAATCAAATCCATTCCTTTATTTATATGAAAAGGCAAAGCCTAAAAAGAGCGTAGCTTATGTTGGTCTCTTATATTTACTGATTCAGAATATTGCTTTCAGAATGAGATTTTCAGATAAGATAAACTTTATTTAAAGTCTAAATAACAATAAAACACAAGCTCTTATGAGATTAAGACCGAAATGACAATAGGTGAGACCGGGGCAAGTTCGACCTATTTTTATTTAAGTCCGTTCTCGGAAGTATGGCAGCACGCACGTTTTTGAACATTATTTAACCTTTCCTGGCCGAACGAGCCCGCCATGGGTCAAGTTTGGACAGGCATTTGGGTAAGTTCGGCCCTCATTGGAATCAGCTTAATTATGGCGTCATAAAGCCTGCAACGTCAGATTTTACCGCCAATTTTACGACTTGTTATGTGTTACATGGGCCGAACCAGTCCGAGCCCAAATTGATATTTCAATAAATTCCTATCGTACAGCAATATGGCAATGTGAGTGCTTGGCTTGACTTGGCTTTTATGTATATCATTTGAAGCTGTCAGTGTGTTACACGTTTGACCGTAAAATGTTGCAATTCCGTTTACAGAAAATTCGCATAACTAGAAGCGATATCATGATTTTCTTTCTACCCTCTCAAAAGTAATTTTCTCCTGTTAAGTAATTTTACATTAGAGTTTTCCTCGCCATTTTTTCGTTCAATGCCCAGCCAACTAGACTGCTAAGATCCTTAAAGATGTAAATGTTAGCTAAAAATAAATAAATATCAGGGGTGGCCGAACTTTACCCTGTTTACCGTGTGTAGATTTTTGTATCAATGATGATTGATAAAAGTGTATTCACAATATATTTTTAACATCAATGACGCCATTTTCTTCCAGTCAAAGCTAAAGTAGCTATATATATTTGTTCTTGTGCGTAACGGATATGATGGGTCGGATGGCGCAGTGGATAGCGTGCTCGTCTTCACCAAGATCTATAGGCCGGATTCAATCACGATCACCTGCCCGACCTAGCAGTTTTCTCCGGATACTCCAGTTTCTTCCCACATTCAGAATTAAATCCTCTGCGTGCTTCCGTCAGGGCACAAAAAGAATGATTGAGATAAGTTTGGGAAACCTGTTTGGTAAATGCTATAGAAAAAGTGCATATTACATATATGACAATTAGTCTAAGTAAATGTAAAGAGACGTTGGTTAAAAACTAAAATTTAAAAAAGAAAACATTGTAACATTTTAATGTAACTGAGAGATCGTCGTTATATCGATATGTAGTCTCAATCACTGTTCAATCCTAAAACACCGTATTGAATATCACATTTTGTAATTGTCACCGAGGTTTGACAGGTAATGATGCCAAATAGAATTTAACAGTTTCTGTCTGTTACTAGTTATAAATCGGCACGCGTTGCGAAAAAGTAATACGTTGCTGAAAAAGGGCGTTGAACTCGGGTTGGTTGTCTGGAAAATTGTTGTTAATGTCGTCATAAATGCGTTTACCATTGTTTCTTTTAAGAGTGGTGATGCATAAATTAATTATGTAAAGTCTATAACCAGATTTTCAAAAATGTTAAATTTTTCGTTCATATTCTCAACAAATGGAAATCAAAAACTGATGAAATATTTAGATGGTGAAAACATAAATGTACACGTAGACAGGTCTATTGGTTTAATTCCGGCTCTTTTTGAAGATATCTCCCGGTAGAAATATTAACAGAATCTGGTTGATGACAAAAAGGATGTCCAGAAAATATCCCCATTTTTACTTTTTGTGCCAGTGACAAAAACTGAAATAAAATAAAACAATCTTGAAGCGCCGAAAAAGAGATAAATGCAACGGACATCAGAATTTTCCGGTTTTTTTCATCCTTCCTGAAATAACCGATAAAGGCCGATGGATTGTGACGTTTTTGTGACGTCATAGTATGATAATCTTCGAACGAAGTTTCATGCCTGTTAGTATCAGACTTTATGTGATAGACTTTTTGATTCAGAATGTACATATTTGTATATTAGTTTTTATCTCAATAAACAAGTAATAAAACAAGAAGATTGTTTTCACTTATTGAAGATGTTCATGTATGGGTTGAAACACAGTTGTCTTTGCTTCAAGGATACACTTCCTCTTTCCCCACTGGACGTCTACTTCCGGACGCAAAAAATTAAAGGGAAGGTGTAGAAAGGGGAAGCAACTCTGTTTACGCACGCATGTGTTACCATTAAAGAGCTTCGCTCGGGCGCCTATGGCGCCCGAAAGCTGCGCTCTTATAAATATCATGTTAGTCTATTTCATACTTGATCATATTTTACAGTTATTGCGTATAAACGAATTATTGCTATCTACGTTGTAAATAACCTTTTGTATACATTTAGGGAGTTGTAATGATATTTCAATTCCAACCAGCGTGAGATTTTTTTTTAACGTTTTACATTCGAAAACCCTAGGATATCACACCAAGAAATGCCCGGATCTACGAACACGTTTGGTTGATACAATAATTATACATATCAAGGGGTTCCCGTAATACCCTGGTCGCATTTCCGTAATCTAGCGTGGTGAGGTTTTATCATACACACTGGATAAACTGCATCGAGTATTGTCACTCTGTCCTCACTGGAGTATTACTTGAGCGTGAATTTCCGGTTTTGTCATAACAACGTATTTTGCAAGGTTAGTCTTTATTATTTGTGTGTGCCTCCCTGTGACATATTTAAGTGATATACAAATGCAAGTGTATACAGTTTATAATATAGAAGTATTCTTGAAATCCTTATTGCATGAGTATTACTTGAGTGTGAGTTTCCGATGTTGGGAGAGATTGTTGTACTACATGGAAATTGAAGAGGCCACACTCGATCTGCTGTCCCCATAGCAATACTTAAGTTATTTATATCCTCCTTTCACCCTTCCTTTCACCCTTCCTTTCACCCCACCTTTCATCCTTCCTTTCATCCTTCCTTTCACCCTTCCTTTCACCCTTCCTTTCTCTCTTTCTTTTCACCCTTCCTTTCACCCTTCCTTTCTCTCTTCCTTTCACACTTCCTTTCACTCTTCCTTTCACTCTTCCTTTCACCCTTTCTTTCACCCTTCCTTTTACCCTTCCTTTCACCCTTCCTTTCTCTCTTTCTTTTCACCCTTCCTTTCACCCTTCCTTTCTCCCTTTATTCCACCCTCCCTTTCATCCTTCCTTTCACCCTTCCTTTCTCCCTTTATTTCACCCTTCCTTTCACCCTTCCTTTCACCCTTCCTTTTTCTCTTCCTTTCACCCTTTCTTTCACTCTTCCTTTCACCCTTCCTTTCACCCTTCCTTTCACCCTTCCTTTCTCTCTTCCTTTCACTCTTTCTTTCACTCTTCCTTTCACTCTTCCTTTCACTCTTCCTTTCATCCTTCCTTTTATCCTTCCTTTCACCCTTCCTTTCACCCTTCCTTTCACCATTCCTTTCACTTTTCCTTTCACTCTTCCTTTCACCCTTCCTTTCACATTTTCTTTCACTCTTCCTTTTACCCTTCTTTTTATCCTCCCTTTCACCAATCCTTTCTCTATTTCCTAATCGTACCTTTCGGCGGTGCCTCATTAGGCATTCGTCTTCACAAGGTTATAGTGCGCTCAACAAATACATCTTGGTGTGTCCAACGGTAGATTTTAAACCAAGGGGATTATTAAATTAATATGTGGTAAATATATTCCATTTTCCAGTTATCTGTAAAATTGAAGTGCTCACTAATATATTAGGCAATAATTCCTTTCGTTTCTATTCATATTTTCTCGATTGCGTCATATACATTGATGTAATTTTATCTTATATAATGCATTTTTATATATCAGAGTGCAAATACATGAAACGAGAAACGTTATAGTTTAACCTGTAATTAGGCATTAACAATATATTTAGTCTGTTGCTAGGACATTAAACCTAAAACAAACAACCAAACAAACAAACAAGGCCTTTTTGGAATCACGGTTGGCACCATATCAGCACTTTAGCTGCTGTTTTTCCAATGTCTTGATTGTCATTTTATTCTGTTTTGTAAGTTTCTTTCTGTGTTTCGCCGGTACGTCTAATGCTATAGTTTTGTGACGAGGTGGATTTTCTCATGATACATTGTCTATGGTGGGATATTAACTATCATTTCAATAGGTTATACGCTATGTTTGACAATAAGACAAGATGGAAGACAAATTCAGCAATCCATGTATACGTTATTTAATGTATTAACATCGAAGTCCCCAAAACGAAAGTGAGTGATTTCTTACTTTACCCCATTTCTTATCAGGTCCCCAAAACGAAACATAGGGACTTTTGATTTAGTTTCTCCTTCTTCCGCCGAGCAATTATCTGCAAGTTTTCTCGGAGACAAGTTGTCGGAATACAAATTGACTTCACATAAGTTTTTGGTCATGTGTTTAGATGTGCAAAACATCCTTTGTTGTGGCTGCGCATCCAGAACGGCTGCTGCGGCCTCTCATATGTCATAAGATGACCTGCTATTTTCTTGGAAACTACTGGGCGGATTTCAATGAAACTGAATACAAGTATTGTTGGAAATGCTTTCATATCAAATAACAACCACTCTTTGCAACAGCGCATCCAAAATGGCCGTTGATTGGTCGAACGTAAGATATTGACAGATTTCGATCATATTGTATGAAGGTGTATTGTGTCGTTACGAAAAGTACAATGATTTCACAGTTGCCATAGTTTAAAACCAAGATGGACGCAACGGTCTCTGATTGGTGGAAATCAAGATATGTACAGATTTCGATAAAATTAGGTGCAGCAGTGCAGTATGTTGGAGTTTTAAATCACTACGAACAGTACAGGGATTTCCACTCGGAGACTTCTGTGTTGTCTCTCGTCGCAGCCTCTGATTGGTCGAAATTAGGATATTGACAGATTTCGATCAAATTTGATATGTTGGTATGTTTTTGTCGTTACGAACGGTACAGTGACTTGAATCAGTATCATTGCGACTGCTAGGGTAGTTTTGGGGACATTTGTAACGGTACCCATAACAATCAAGTTGGCGTTTGGGTTTTCTGGGTTATTAATCCTCTTAACAGCTAAATTAATGTTAGGACACTCATTTATGTTTGCAATGAATGTGCGTGTGCTATAAGTAGATACAGTTCTAATGCAGTGATAATGGATACGGTATCTAGATATATACCAATGTCTCTTTCAGGTTGATTTTAATTCTGAGGACAACATAAATTGCGACAATGACTAATTTTTGCACAAAATACGATTGCATGCGTTATCTACTAGCATTGATAATAACTTATATATAATATTTTCCTTGTAGAATCCATCATATATGCTACCTTACGCACTATATATGTGATTTCCGTAGGTGTTATCCATGATTATTTAACTAAATAACAACATTTGATAAAATAGAGAGGAAAACCCGCCTGTGTTTAAAATTCAAGCATAGTAGGATAACTACTATATTCCAGCAGGTTCCGTGTAAAATTGGCCTGCTATATCCAACTGCATGTTAGAGAGTGAGGTAGTTGTCTTCTGTGTTTACTGTATATGGCCCCCTTTGCAACACTTAGGATATTTTTCCTTCCTTGATCACCTTCCTCCTTTTTTCTTGTATCACAAAACAGTTACCTCAATTCTTTATGAATTAAATGATATCGAATAGGTATCGTTTGGTTAGAGGTTTAGCATCCTGTAAACAATTGAAGTTTTGTGATGATGTGGCTTCATGTGTGTAAGGTACGTGTATGTGCTGGAGGCTGTATGGGTGGCCCTGACGATGCCGAGTTTAGAGTGCTACCTCGCTGGAATACCATGCCGAAGCACTCAGCACAGCACTCTATTCGGTCACATTATACTGACAACGGGTAAAACTAGTTAAGGAGTTAAGACTAGCAAGGTACACTTACAAATATCAAAACGCAAAATAAAATAAATAAAAAATACACAGCAAAATGGTAAGATATTGTCTTAAGAAGAGTTTTTAAATTTAAGATATAGGCAGTCAATATGTTTACTTTTTATGTGTATTGTTTTATTCTTTTGATTGGGGTGTTTGTGTTTTACGTCCTTTTAACAGCTATTGTCATTTCAGAGTGTGTCAGGTTTTGGTGGTGGAGGAAAGCCGCAGATCCAGGACCTGGCGACTGCCCCACATAGGCCTCAAACCCACGGCCCAGTGGTTGGGGGCTAGTGGTAGCAGAGTGTCAGACGCCTTAATCATTTGGCCATCGCGACCCCGGGTGATTCTTTCATAATAAAAAACATATTACAGCAAAGTACTATATGTCCTTAAAATCGTCATTAAATGCATAAATAACTAACCAAAAACGTTCCTTTTTTGTAGATTGGCTTGCAGAAATGAAGAATACAACGTATTTTTCAATGAACACCCTTTTCAATGGCAGCACACACCCTAGTACCTCACTAGTGACGTCATCATCCAACATGACCGGAAATACGTCAGAGGACGCAGACAATTTAATAAACACCTTTATTTCGTCGGGTCTGAAAATTGACGCAATTAATGACAAATACTTTTCCACGGTTTTACTTCCGTCATTCGTCTACGCATGCGTACTCTTGACTGTTGGAATTCCTGGGAATAGTTTAGTGGTGTACGTTTACGGGTTTAAAAGCAAGAAAACTGTTTCCCGGTTATTTATTCTAACACTGGCAATTCTTGATTTAATCAACTGTTTATTTTCGATATCAACAGAACTTTTCCTTATGTGGAATTTTTTAAAATTCGACTTCCCAGCAATCTGTAAGATAAGCCGGTTTATAACATCATTCTGTAATCACTCGACAACGATTGTGTTGCTTACTATAGCCATCGACAGGTTTAGAAAGATCCGCCATCCACTTAAGACAAAAATGAAGATGTCCACAGCAAAAAGAATTATGATTTTTTCGATGATATTCGGATGTTTAACAGGAATTCCTTTTGCGTTATTTTACGGCACAAAAACACTGGTGCTGACAACTGTCGTAACGGACACACAGAGATTTGTGTATGAGGGTAAAACGTGTCTCCCGCGTGACGGCTTGGACATCATCTACAAAGAGATTCTGCTGATAGTACTATCAATTGCGCATGTTGTGAGTGACGTTATCCTCGTTGTGCTCTACTCATTTGTCGGGAAAGCTGTCCTATCTAGCAACAAGTCTTTTCGTCGCGTAGATCCTACATCAAATAAGTCTCACTCAAATAGGAAAATTAGCTTCGAACTTGGAAGACGCAACACCTCGCGTTCGAATAGCACCTCTTCCGTACCTGGTAACGTCAGCAGAACAAACACCATGTTATTTCTGGTGACCCTCGTCTTTATCCTGTCATTCGTGCCCTATTTGATATTGGCGTATATCCGGACATTTCAAAGCGAGACTCACAACACTTCATCATTACATAAAGCAATTCAACAATTGTTTCTCCGAAGTTACTTCTTAAACAGTGCGGTCAACCCGATTGTGTATTGTTTTGTGTGCAAACACTTTCGCCAAGAAGCGATAACAGGTATTCGCCGGATGTTCTCCAGGAATCAAACGAAGTATCGGCCAAGTAGACCCACTGCAATACATAACTAATGACTCGCGTAACGAGAACAATTCGAGACTTGCTGTTCGGATATTGTGGTCCTTCATTAATGTAGGAAATATTGATTCCATGGTTCTAGGAAATTCACCTCTTAAACGAGACATAATTCACTATTTCAAATAATTCATCTATTACATATTAGTGTCTGTATCTGTGTAATAACTACCATATTTATCATATGCAAGTTGACAACAGTTTGTTGACAGGTTGGGGTGACGTCATACATCATTTGCATGAACAATATTGTGAAATACGTAATATAACAGGCAGTATAACATACAAGATGGTGTACAATGTAGAACGTGATATTATGGCCTTGAACAAACAACAGGGGTTGTTAGATGATAGTATGGCTTTCGGAGTATTAAGTGATATTACGGCCGTGAACTAAGAATACGGATTATTAGGTGATATTACGGCCGTGAACTAACAATACGGATTATTAGTTGATATTACGGCCGTGAACTAACAATACGGATAATAAGGTGATATTACGGCCGTGAACTAACAATACGGATTATTAGGTGATGTAACGGCCGTGAACTAACAATACGGAATATTAGGTGATATTACGGCCATGAACAAACAATACGGATTAATAGGTGATATTACGGCCGTGAAATTACGGCCTTGAACAAACAACAGGGGTTGTTAGATGGTATGGCCGTGAACATACAATACGGAATATTAAGTGATATTACGGCCGTGAACACACAATACACCCCGGGGTGTTAGGTGATATTACGGCCGTGAACTAACAATACGGATTATTAGTTGATATTACGGCCGTGAACTAAGAATACAGATTATTAGGTGATATTACGGCCGTGAACACACAATACACCCCGGGGTGTTAGGTGATATTACGGCCGTGAACTAACAATACGGAATATTAGTTGATATTACGGCCGTGAACTAAGAATACGGATTATTAGGTGATATTACGGCCGTGAACTAACAATACGGATCATCAGGTGATATTACGGCCGTGAACTAACAATACGGAGTATTCGGTGATATTACGGCCGTGAACTAACAATACAGATTATTAGGTGATATTACGGCCGTGAACTAACAATACAGAGTATTAGGTGATATTACGGCCGTGAACTAACAATACAGATTATTAGGTGATATTACGACCGTGAACAAACTATACGGAGTATTAGGTGATATTACGGCCGTGAACTAACAATACGGATCATCAGGTGATATTACGGCCGTGAACTAACAATACGGAGTATTAGGTGATATTACGGCCGTGAACTAACAATACGGAGTATGAAGTGATATAACGGCCGTGGACAAACAATACGGAGTATTATTAGTTACACGGATTTTGGCAGGGTATACGGGATGGTATGACCCTAAAGGGTTTCGTATTTCCTGAGGCCGATATATATAGGCCGAAGGAAATACGAAATCCTGTAGGGTCATACCATCCCGTATACCCTGCCAAAAATCCGTGTAACGAATTTATTACCCCTTTGAGTCTTTTATATTGGTTTTGTACAGTTCCCCGTCAACTTTTCTGTTGTCAAGATAAAAATGGCACAGTAGATCTACCTCATTTAGTTTCGTTTTATCAAATTCCTCGAACTGTTCTTCCTGATTCTTTTCTTTTAAATACGTCCTCAGCATGTTTGCCGCTCGTCTGTTCGACTTTTGTGTGTTTTGTGGCACATAGTTAGCCCTTTTGGCGAGTATTTCCTCATCAGTATGCGAAGCGAAACGTTTTGTCATTTTGTAAACATCGCCGGAAGCAGACGACGAATGCGAGTTGTCTCCCATTGCCCGGCCGCAAGATACAAAGACACGTGACCCGTATACCCCTTGTAAAAGCACGTGATTCCACCGTATAACTGCTGAGATTCACGTGACATGACCGTATACCCCCTGAGATTTTCGTATACCCCTTGAGATTTACGAATGCGGTTTGGTACACTGTAGTTTTTAACCAATCAGATTCCTAGATTTTTCTCAAAGGGGTAATAATAAGTGATATTACGGCCGTGAACTAACAAAACGGAGTATTAGGTGATATTACGGCCGTGAACTAAGAATACGGATTATTAGGTGATATTACGGCCGTAATATCACCTAATACTCCGTTTTGTTAGTTCCCGGCCGTAATATCACCTAATAATAAGTGATATTACGGCCATGAACTAACAATACGGATTATTAGGTGACCTTACGGCCGTGTACTAACAATACAGAGTATTAGGTGATATTACGGCCGTGAACTAACAATACGGATTATAAGGTGATATTACGGCCATGAACTAACAATACGGATTATTAGGTGATATTACGGCCGTGAACTAACAATACAGAGTATTAGGTGATATTACGGCCGTGAACTAACAATACAGAGGAGTAGGTGATATTACGGCCGTGAACTAACAATACGGAGTATTAGGTGATATTACGGCCGTGAACTAACAATACGGATTATTAGGTGATATTACGGCCATGAACTAACAATACGAAGTATTAGGTGATATTACGACCGTGAACAAACTATACGGAGTATTAGGTGATATTACGGCCGTGAACTAACAATACGGATCATCAGGTGATATTACGGCCGTGAACTAACAATACGGAGTATTAGGTGATATTACGGCCGTCAACTAACAATACGGGTGTTAGGTGAAATAACGGCCGTGGACAAACAATACGGAGTATTAGGTGATATAACGGCCGTGAACTAACAATACGGAGTTTAAGGTGATATTACATAATGCGGAGTATTGCGCAATATTCCGGCCATTAAGAAACTATTCTGTTTGGATATTGATATTATTGTGTTGAACTACGAACTATGAATATTTGTTAATTATTAACCTTGTACTTTGCATATTATTATCCAAGGAAGAACAGTAGTTGTGTGATTGTTATGAAATAAAAACAATTATCAGTATGTCTGTAACTGTTTGAAGTGTTTTCAGATTTTTGCACCGAATTACATGTAATTTCTTTGACCTGTGGAATTCGACACTTTCAAAGTTTAGAAGACACACCTTAGTAAGTACATGTACATGTGTTGTATCTGCAGTATCATACTATGGAAACCAGACTATGAAACCATAACAGTAATATAATACGAAACACACACTTTGCAGAACCCATGTATTATGAAAATAAAACAGTGACATGGTGCAGAAAAATGGTGTGAAATGGTCGTGTTTTCACGACGCTTACCCTTCCCGAACACCCGGTCGTATTATATTTGTACTTTTTCAAATATCTTCATGTTGTGGTAAGACAAACGACTGTTGATGCAGCGTTCAAATAGATTTTGTCTCGAGAAAATATTCGGTGAGTTTGCATCAACAGTAAACATTGAAATATATTAGACAGTTTGATCTTGTAAGTTTTGTCCATTTCACATATAGATAAATATTGTACCGGTTTTGAACTAATCTAAGTCTTCTTTTACCAGAATGACCACAAAGCAATTAAGAAACTTGCAACCCAGCTTTTATTACAAAATGTCCATGCTGTTAGTTAACAATGCAACATGTTTACTGTTTGTAAAAATGATGCACAGAAAAGTGGAAAACTATTGCAGGAAATAAGTAGATACACCTGTTGTCTGATAGGAAGTTTGTCTAACACATGCGGTTTACATTCACTTTGGACGTAGGTATCTATTTTTGTCGGCGGGAGGCGGCAAACTATGTTCGGAACATTGCCTGACTGTCTGTCCCATTATGCGAGAAATACACAAACAATTGCAGCAGTAAAATTAAAAACCATCACTATCTCGCAACGTTTCAAGGCCGACTGGTCCTTTGTCAAGCTATTACTGAGTTAGCGATGTGTATTTAACTGTACAATGACGAGACGAAATTGTATATTTTTTATGTCACTCGACCATTGACGTTTCGCCTATCGACAGGGAGCGCACACACACTGTATCAGATATAGTATACGCTCCCTATCGACCCGGATCGAGTGTTATAAAAAATATACAATTTCGTCACTTCGTTGTACAGGTCGAACATTACATCACCCAGTCAAAGCTAAACGGAGTGAACGTTTGATACGTAAATGTACATTTTTTTGTGCAGAAAGTAAAACTTTGATATCACATATTTCCAAACTGATAAACTTTATTGAAGATTTATCTGACAAATATATATAAAAAAGCGATCTTCACAAAATAGGAAGTTTCACGACATCCTAGCAGTAGTCAGGATCGTATATGACGACGGATGCATAGGGAGACATCGGCGTAAGAGAAAGGAAAAAGTATTGAAGAGAAGGCAAACGAGAGATTCGAAGTCCTGCGATATGGACAGGAGAGGAACTAGGGCCTCTTTAATGTCTACTAAGTAGGACTAATAGGACACCAAACAAATATCGATAGTTCAGCCCCCCCCCCCCCCCCCCCCCCCGTAGGAACAGGTTATTTACCGATCTAAACGACATATTAAAACAAGAGTAGGCCCCCAACAATTAAGCAAATCCATAGTCACGTGTGACGTCTTTGTGTCCGTCATAGTTGATTGATTATTTACATATAACATACGTACACTTTAAACAGTCTAAAATAGTGTAAATATGGCATAATCATGAATATAAAGCTATTTTGAAGAAAATATGATACTTATTTTACTCTTTTTTGTGACGTTCGATAATATTGCTTATTTTTACAAACTTATGTAAATACGGCACAATCATGAAGGCTATTTTGCAGAAAATATCATTATATTTCTTTAACGAGTCGAAGGTTTGTAATATGTTATACACGTAGTAATACATATCCTAAATCATAAGTACACAACTTGAGTGTAGTAAATACGGGCTATTTTGCTGAAAAAAAATAGAAAAAAATAACGGAATGTAGGTACATGTATGTAATATGTAATAAACGCAGTAATACATATCATAACTACACACATTCAATGTACATACGGTACAATCACGAAGGCTATTTTGTAGGAAAAAAAAGTATTTCTTTAACGAAATGTAGGTAGATAATTAGAACAATACATGTACATTTCATTTTATCGAACGTCGCAAATAGAACTCGTTTATACAAAGTTGTGTCTCCTTGGCCCAGTGACGCTTTAGATTTATTTGACAGGATAATTTTTTTACACTTTATCTCTGGGTTCCTGTCGTCTCCATCTAGGAAGGTCATACTTCGTATATAAAACACTGAATCCTGTATACTGTCATGGAAAGTGTATAGATCAACGCTTTTTTTTTTTACATGCAATGAATTGCAACTGGTCTTCGTGCTTCAATACATATTATTATTCCTCATCGATTTTACAGCATGTCTGATTGGTTTAAACACATCACATGACGTGATTATAAAACATCGAGTCTCCCTCACGCGATCCATTTTCCCTGTCGAGTAAACCTCTTGGAACCCCTCACACAGTATCGGACGAGCTCGAGTTGTCTCTTTTCGTTAGACTCTCTAACGCCCGATGTGTTCCGATGTGGTTTCTGCAAGGCCACCGTAAAAGAAAACACAACAAATCACCCCCGATTCTGCATGGGACCAAACATTCGTCACCTCACCTGCTTACTTAAGTTTTCGACGTAATCAGATAACGGTTTAGAGATGTGGGCCTATGGTTTATTTACATCCTGTTTTATAGCAAACGTTTACAATAAACAAGCCATTTGGATTGATATGTCTCGCCTATGCCCCGCTTTGACCATCAATGCACATATCAGAGATACTAACTTAAACGCAAACACTTAATGTTGGTGGAGATGCTGACAAAGTCAATGGACCATGATTGGTAGGCCGCACCAAGCATTTGATGGACGGGTTGAGATGTTCTACCTAAGATGCGTCTATGGTCAAAGTTTGGTTGGTGTAGCACTTACACTTTCAATAAAACTTACTTATATGCAAAAACTTATTGTTGACACCCGCCGCCGCCGCCGCCGCCGGAAAAGCAGCACCTTTGTCTCGCTTCCGCTACTTCGGTACGGCGAAACAAAAACGATTTATTTCTGTACACTTGTTCAAGCATCTGATCATGACAGTCGTGTCTCCCTTTGTTAAATGCTACTGCAAAAGACGAATTCTCGCTCTGTGACTCTATAAAATGCTCGAGGTGAGGTTTGCGTTGGGAATAGTTCTGGAAACCTTATAGATACATCTTTGCGTGCGTATATTTTAGTAGTAATTTACGCGAAAAACGTGAGCATTTAAACACTGCGACAATTTCAACATTTACAGTATAACAAAAATAATTGATTATGTTTTTTCTTTCTCCTACAGAACACAAACTTGTTAGATTGCAATTGTGAGGGCAAAACTGTTTATTAACTTTCCTTGTTTCGAATTCACGCACGCCCGTTTTAAAAAACAAAACAAATGAATTTGCCAATTTTCTTAATTTAGAAACACATCAGGGAAGAATGTAAAGACACAATATGTCACATGTTATTTATTAGGTAGACGTATAGATACGTGTTTGTATTTAACGTTCTCGTTACAGCTAAGGTCACACGAGGAAGGGGGCCTGATGAGACACCGCCGAAAGGAGAGATAAAGGAAGTACAATAATGAGATATAGATCCTAAGTGATGAAGTGGCAGCTGCTGATAAATTTAGGTTACTTTAATGTCCCCTTAGCAGAAGTCATAGAAGAAACCCCTAATTGACAGGGGTCCCATAGTAGTCGCCTCTTACGAAATTGTTTCAAAATCTAAATTTTGTTAATGAAATCTCCTTAGATCTGTCTTCTCAAACAAAATAATGATATTTTTCGTAACGTACAAAAATTCATAAAGACCAGCGGTAGGTTTTAATTCGTAAGGCGTTTTATACTTCTATACTAAATTTGTGAGACTGTTCAATGGTGTTCTTTCTCTTTTTGTTTCTGTTTTTGTAATGCTACTATTATACATATTATTTGATACCCAGTTGTGCCATGTTTGTAAATCTGATGTATATATTTGAGGAAAGGGCGTAAATAATGTTGTAATAACTTGTGCCCAATCCTGTTGTCACTATTTTGGCAATAAGATACATGTATGTTTAAACTAAACTACGAAATGCAGTGTGGTACAGCAGGCCTACCCCCGGGCCCCGGGCCCCGATCTCATGGTACAGTCTATTGTCTTCATTTCATAACGTAAGTCACGTTTAATCCTCTGAACTTTACGCGTCCTACACATGCAAAACATATTAACAAATACTACATTATAAACCACGATATCTCAAGTGTTATTGAGTCTGTGGTCGCTCTTATCCTTTATAAACATTTGAGACTAAATTTGAAACAAATCTAGGTAGGTCACGCTTGTCAATATCTGCCGGTAGATTAGACTGTCGTGTCTGTGCACATGGGAGGTAATAATATGCAAACATTCGTTGCTCATTAGTGTATTTTTAAAAATGATACATTGTTGCAATTTATACAGTTCCACATTTTTTATGAAGTTTCGGTCTAGAATTGCAAATATTAAACATAGCTGATGATATCACGGGAAAAGGAAAGCAATACGAATAATGTTTGACCTCATAACCGTACAACTCGACAGTCAATATCAGTAAGGAGCTGTGTTATTATCCTACACACTGTTACAATCCAGTAGTACCAAATATTTTTTTTAATGAGAAGGTAACATCCTAAAGATTAAACAAATGTAATTTATTGGAACAATAAATGTATTTATGTAATTTTGCAATTACCATAAATATTATATAATTATGTCAATATTTGTATCTTCAAGGATATGTACAGAATCTTAGCTTTCATTGATCTGATTATAAGTAACACATGTATTAACTTTCCAAAAAACTAAGAGGGCTACCAACAGCTTTATTCATTAGTAAGCAGTTATACTAAAGTTTGAGATAGATGGGTATGTAGAAGCTCGCGTAGTTATGCTGAGAATTTATTTAAAATATATATAAATTGCTGGTCAGTGCGTCCACGAGCGG